TCACAAAATGATTTGACTCCATCTGCATATACCACCCATTTCCACTTTTACATACAAACCACTCTCACAAAAACATACAAGTACAAACACATATTTCCCTCCCTTCTTCCAGGAGAAGCAGCAACAATGAGGGAAAAAGAGAATATGGAGATTGGGTTAGAAGAAGGGGTAGCTATACACAAGAGGGAAGGAAAAACAAAGGGAAGGAACAAAACTAAGTGGAAAGAGGTAACCAAAAGGGGCAAGAAAGATAAGGTATATTTAGGTGTTACAGATAGGGTCAGATTTACCAAGAAATATAGTTCCTCCCAAGCAACAGCTGATCTTCAGAGGCAACCAAACTCTACTTTTAATTGTTTCTTCTATTTTTCTCAATGAAAGTAAGACAATCCATCTCTCCCCACTAATCAGAGTAATTACTGGAAGAAAATTCTCTATGTGGTATTTTTCTGTCAGCCAGTTTAAATCCCTAATATGAAAATGTACATCTAAAAAAATAATAATAAACATAAATAAATGACTGGGGTCCATGATGAAAATAATCAGTAACGACAGACCAGATCCTCCAAAAAGATTACCAACACAGACACAGCTGTAACATTAGTTGATAAGACCACCTCCACTCCTAATTGGATGGCTAGCTTACTGGATATGAATGTAGCAATATGGGCAGATTAAAGCTGCAAGGAAGTAGGGTGAAGAAGCATTCCTTGTTTTACAAGGACATACACAATTGGAACATGGAATATGAGAGGCAGGAATAATGAAAAATGGTAAATTGTTAAAGCAGAAATGAAGCATGCAAAATTGTATGTCTTAGTAATAAGTAAACTTAGATGGACTGCAATGGGTTGCTCTTATTATATGCTATTCAGGGCATGAGTACATATGAAGGAATGAAGTGGCAGTGATATTCAAAAAAGGTATTACAAGGTATGTGCTTAGGAATATTCCAATAAAAGATAGAATCATATAATAATTAGTGAATTATTCAAGTTTATTCATCTACTATTGATACAGTGGAGAAAGCCACTAAACACAAAAAATGATAGATGTAATATCTGAAAAGAATGTAGTATTACTAATAAGTGAATGGAGTTCAGAAATTGGAGAAATGGATGAACCTGGAATCACAGAAGAATAGGACTGGGTAAATAATGCAGCAGACAGATTAATAGAGTTTAGGGAAAATATTTGTTTATTGCCAGTGCCTGTTTCAATCAAGATAAATGCAGACTCCAAACCTGGACATCATTCAAAGGAGAATATTAGAATCAAATATACTTTTTTGTTAAGGGAAATGGAGAAGCCCAATCCAGTCAACCAGGAGATTTCCAGATGCAGATTGTAGAACAGACCATTAACTATTGGTTGATTTAGAAAATGGTAAGAGAGTGAGTGTGCCACAAGATGAATGCAGGCAGGCAGAAGAGAAAATCAATTAAAGGAACATGAAGACAATGAGCTGTTTTGAGATTCCCATTTTTCTAAGCACATTCCACAACTTGACATGATCAATATTAGAAGGCCTTTCTATAATCAGTGAAGCACATATTGACTTTTGGGGTTGTATTATTTAGATTTCTCAATTATCTACATGCATCAGCAATAATAACTTGTGTTCCTTGGCCTTTCCTAAACACAGCTTGAACATCTGGCATCTTGCTTTGCATATACAGCTCTAATCTTTGTTGGATGATTCTAAGCATTATTTTGCTAGCATCTGAAATTAAGGATATGTTGTATAATGGTTTGCACAATCTATTAAGTCTCCTTTCCTTGATAGTGGTATGTAGACTAACCTCTTCCAATCTGTTGGTGTTAGCCTTGCAAGGTAGTCCAGACAAGAAGCACACCCAGATGAACTAATCCTACTTTATTGTAAGGTTACATTAACAAAATCTTGCAAGACTGAAATTATTTCACCCCTCCTCTCTTTAATCTCCAGAAAACTAGGGAGGGTCCCTTCTGAAACACTTCCCATGCTTTTCCCCCACCTGCAGACTGAGCTGCCTCTTATCAGACTGTTGCTTAGGCTGCCTCCCAAAGTCATTCCTATATACCATTACATCTGGCCACTGTGTTATTCTCCAGATTTGCTGGCATAGTTTGGTTAGAACCTTTACAGATTCTTCTGTTGCTTGCCGAATTTCTGTGGCTATTCCATCAACCCTGACTTGGTAATGATTGGAGTCCTGATCTAACTTCATTTTCCAGTACTAGAGATGCTTAAAACTAGCAAATATCTTCTAAGATATCTTGGATACTGACATCTCTACTGTACAGAATTTCAGTATACCCCTTCCATTTTTGTTTAATCATTTTGAAATCAGTTATTATCTGTTCATTTAGTGTACCAATTTGAGGTTCAAACTTTCAACAAGTTCAGTTTTGAAGACTTGCCTTGTTTTTCCATGTCTGTTTCTATCTTTACTATCTTTACAGATGCTGTTGTAATACTGCTTGTTATCTCTTGTATCAGCGCTCTGAAATTCTTTGTTAAATTCCTTCCTTAGAACTTTGTCTTTCTTGGTTTTGACTTCTCTTTTTAGCAATTTCCATCGTTTGTTCTGACATCCAGTTTGCCTTCTTCTGTTTCTTGATCTCTGACAGTCTCTTTTCACATTTGTCCTCAACAACTTCTTTGATTTCCTTCCACAGTTCTTCTGGTTCTCAATGAGGTTAAGGAATTCAAAACAATTCCTGATGTTCTCGACAAACGCAGATATATGTTCAAGATCACATCACGGAAACTGGTTGGCTTTCTTCTTCCCCTTTAGTTTAACTTGGGACTTGCGCATGAGCAGTCTGTGATTTGTTCCACAGTCAGCCCCTGGCCATGTTAGTTGCTGTTATAACTGAGCTCTTCCACTTTCTTGTAACAATAATATAGTCAATTTGATTTCTGTGTACTCCATCTGGTAATGTCCATGTATATAGGCATCATTTCAGTTGTTTGAAGACTGTTTAGCAATAAACAAATAATTGGATTGGCAGAAATTGGTAAGTCATTTTCCTGCTACACATCAGTTTCCTAGGCCATACAGTCTACCTTCATTTTTCTCCTTAATATTTCCAGCTTCAACATACCAGTCTCCCACAAAGCAGCACATCTTGCTTGCATGTTCTGTTGATTTCAAATTGAACTTCACCATAAAATTCATCAACCTCCCCTTCTTCTACATCAGTGATAGGAGCATAAACTTGGATAATTGTCATATTAAAGGATTGCCTGTGAAATCCAATTGATATTATTTGGACATTGACTGCATTCTACCCAAGTTCTGTCTTTGCTATATCCTTCCTGACCATGAAGGCAACACCATTCCTTTGTTTGTCACGTTCTGAGTAATCAACAGTATGATCTTCTGATCAAGTGTGTCCAATTCCACTCCATTTCAATTAGCTGATGCCTAAGATGCCAATGTGTAATAATTTCATTTTATGCTTCACTATGTTGAGCTTTCTCACATTCATGTTTCTTATAATCCATGTTCCTGCTGTAATTCTATTTTTCAGCTTTGCATTCTTTTCCTGCATAGCAACATCAGCAACTAGACACCCCAAAGGCTTTAATCTAGCCACATCAAAAACAACATTAGTACTCTGAAAGGTCTTCAGCTCTTCCACAGTAGTATGTTGAATGCCATATGATCAGAGAGGCCCATCATCTGGCACTGTATCAGCAATCACTTTATATTGCCTATCCATGTAGCTTTCTTGGTAAAATGCAGGATTGGTTTATTATTACCTTCTCCCATGCAGTATGAAATGCTTTTGCCACTGTCACTAAAGTGATATTCTGCCTCTAGAATCTTCCTATATTGCTGCTGCCCGTTATAAGTGCCTGCTTGCTTTAGATGGGCAGCAGAGATGACCTTCATGCTGAGTGATCCTGCTAGAATCATATACTCTTGACATATGAGTGTTCTTCATTCATCCCTCCCAGGAACAACCCCCCCTCCCCAATGAAGCAGCATAGCAGGAGTTGTGGGGAAGCAGTTGCTTAGATAAAGATAAAGTACACAAATTGGCATAAAATGTGTTTGCTTGCCACTATTTCCAAAAGTTATATGATTCAAAAGACAAATATAATAAGCATATAAATGCACATCACTTTTTTTTCTAATATTCTCACATTCCCCCAATATGAGTTGCAAATATAGCTGCAACTGTGTATTTAAAATAAATTTTCAGCCCTAAAACTCATACATTCAGTTCACATAAAACATTAAACCGTATGATTTTCTTAGTTTTAGTTTAGCCTATTTTATGAAGACAGCTGTTTTATAAACTAGTGGTTTGTGACAAACATCTCAGCCAATTGTGGTTTATTCAATAAACCATGATTAAGCAAACAGTTTAGCACCATACCCAAACCTACCAAAAACTCTAGATTCAATGAAACTGGGTGTCAAAACAATTTATCCTGGAAATATTCATTCTTAAAAAGTTTGTGATCAAAAAAGAATTACATCAGTAAAAAAATTCCCAAAAGGAATGTATGCACCTTTAACATTTTTAAGGCTCACCAAATCAAGTTTTAGGCTTTCCCATCTCGTATCTTTTTTCAAAGCAAGCTCCTGGTTTTTCAGTTACTATGCTCTTCATAAAAAGAACCCTAACTTCCAAATCGTAATGCTGTATATGGCTTTGAGGCAGACTTAAGCGATATAGCCTCTTTTTTTAGCAACTAGAGACTAATTAGGAACAGGAGGGAACCCTTGCATTGTATTAAAAACCAAGCCGCAGGTTTCTGGAGTCATAGTTCAAAACGTACTTTAAGCAAGTTGGTAACAAGTTCGCTGCTGGCAAAACCGAGATTGCCGGAGCCGCCTCGTTAGGTGCGCTTCACCTGCGATGAAACCGCCCTTCGGCCTGAGGGGTCGGAGGGAGGCGGGGGCGTTTGCCTCCGGGCGGCGACCGGGAAAGGCGAGAGAGGCGCTACCTGGGCTCCGGCCCGTGTGGGACGTCTCCATGGCGACCGCTAAGAGGCCGCCATGGCGACGGAGGAGCGAGAAGGAGCCGCTGCGGGTAAGAACGAATCTGTTGGGGGCTTTGAGAGCAGCTCTACCATTTCCTTTCTGCTTTCCACCTCCCGCCGGCTGCCTCCTACAATTAAAAAAAAGGCTTTTCGCTGAAGCCAGGGTTGGGCTACACCTTCTTCCTGGCCCGCCGCTTCTGCTTCAAGTTTATTTACCTCCAGTAGGACTTTCCTCAGTCTTTCAATGCCCGGTCTTCTTATCCTCTTTCCTCACATGAATCCTCGGGACAAAATCTAGCCATGCTGCTCCATCTCTTGCGGGGGTAAAGGCAAAATTCTGCAATTCAAAACTCCTTCTGTTATGAATGGTAACAGAGCAATGTATGGCTTCTCTAACTTAATACAGGCTTCATTCCTATTTCCAAAATATTCATTGCTGGTGGGTTTGGTTCAGTTACTTTGGGAACCAGCAGCGCTGCCCTCAAGGTAGTCCAGAACAACTACTTTATTAATTCAGCCTTTTTAGGATGGCTACATACCGTGTGGCATTTTAAAAAAAACACCCAAATTTGGTGGCACCTAAACTGTTATGAGAACCCACAATCACTCATCTTTAAAGAATCATAAGCTGTTTTTATTACTGTGACTGTGTCCTGTATTGAGCCAGACAAGATTAACCATATTTTAGTATAAAATGTGGGAAAATGTAGACACTCTGGATATTTTATGCTTCAGTATGTCATGAAAACCCAGAAAATTTGTGATATTTTAGTGAAACATGTTTAAGTTAATAATGGGTAGGCTTGTCATGCAAATATAGGCAGTGACTTAACATTCTTAGGGTAACCAAGATTAATATAGCAGGTGTAATTTTTCCCCCCCAAATCCAAACATTTCAAATTAGGAAGGAGCAGAAAGCGATAAAATTTAAAATGTTTAATTACTTAAAACAAATAAGAAAAAATTGACAGAAGGAATTACCCATGAGTGCAACTACTATATATTCCTACATGCCCAAGTATTACACTCAGGACTAAACTGGAACACATATATGAATACAGGTAGTCCCCAGTTTAAGAATGAGTTCTGTTCCCAAGGTCTGTCCTTAAATCGAATTTGTATGCAAGCTGGAACAGCATTATTGTATAATACTGTATAAGTAGTATTGTGTAATGAACTCGAACCACTGTGTATTTAATGCAAATTTTGCTACAGTGGGCTCTGTTCTTAACTATGGGTCATCTGTATGGGTGTTCTTAACCTAGGGACTACCTGTACACATGTAGGTCGTATTTCAGTATCTTTGCT